GACAGGTGCACGCTATAAGCTGCATCGTCTGTCAACGGAGAAAGGATTTCCCTGCCTCTCTTGGAGAGACTCGTGCCTTTGTTGTGTAGACAACTCTGCGCGCGCACCTAAGGAGGCCTACCTCTTTACTAGCCCGTGGTGGCGCGTACGTATCTCTACTGAGGTGTACGAAGGGATTGACAATCTGAAATCCCTTTACGACCGTGCCGGGAAGAATTTCTCCGGCGGTCCTTCTGCGGAACAGGATGTGCCGCGTCGTACTGCTCTACAAGACCCAGTACGTCAATCATCAGTTGGGAGCGGGGCTCCCAAGTATCCCAGGACGGGGGATAACCGCGCCACCGGACGAGGTAACTCGTCCAACGTCCGTTCACATCGCAGTGGTTCAACAGCCGCTCAATCAGATAGCGCTGGCCACCGCGAGAGTCCTCCAAACGAGGTGGAGGAGGATGGAAGACGCTCTCCAAGCTATCGTGGGGGAGCGTGCGTCTCCGAGCGCATTTTTGATAGCGTAACTCTTGCGTTACGCGACGACCTCGAGCATGAGTGGGACAGGCGTCTTCAACTGGCGGACACTGTCTTGAAGCATCGAGCTGAGTATGCTTGTGCTCAGCTTGAGAACGAGAGAGCTTTGACATCTCTGCGTAACGAGCTAAGGGTAGCTCGTGTGGATATCGATCGGTCTCGGTCTGAGATAACTGCTCTTCAGGCCCTTGTTGATATGAACCATCGGGAGCACAAGGCTCTCTGCGAGATGCTTGAGCGTAAGGGCGTTCTTCATCGGAAGAAACAGCGTGCTGATGGTACGGCTTAATCCGACCAACGTAAAACTTGGGATGCGTTCGCATCTTACGTGGCAGTTCGATCGTGTATGCGTTGCCTAGATGATGCAATACACGAAATGGGCCGATGTACTTAAGTAGTAGTCTACTACACCCCACTTTAGTCACTACATGCTTTGGTAGGATAACCGTAGACAGTAGGACTAAGTCACCTTTATTAAATAAAAGAGTGTTTGCCCTTCCATTCTTGTCAGCGTTTTGCTTTTGCTTATCCACCGCTTCGGCGATGGAGTCTTGCACGAAACGGACTATCGTTTCACGAGCCAGTATGAACTCATCTGATGACTCGTTAGCTTCAGTGCGCTGTGAGTGCACTGCAGCAACATCAACCTTTTCTTCAGTGAGGGCTTCCTCGCTCTCACTGGCATCATCTTCGTCGATATCGATGTTGTCGATATCGGCATCAAACGCAACGACCTCTTCGTCCGAGCGTGATTAGCGTGAACCAAATCGGTTTTTGCTCGCGCGAGTCCCTCCCCCCCCTTGAACCAGAGTTACATTCGAGTAAGGTGGGTACACGCGGATGGCGCAAGCCATTTACGTAAAACGGTGCATGTGTCATGGACGCATGCACCGAGATGTTAATGGCAAACTCTACCATTGGCAAAAACTCACTCCAACTCTTAAAGGAGTGTACGTATCCTCGAAGTATCTCTTCGAGGACACGATTGGCTCGTTCCGTTTGACCATCTGACTCTGGATGATCAGATGTAGACATCTTCAAGCGCGTTCCGAGTGATTTGAACACGGAACGCCAGAGATCAGCAGTGAATCGTGGATCTCTGTCTGATACGAGTACACGGGGTAACCCATGAAGTCGGAAGATGGTGTCAATAAAGACACAAGCACAGCCACTTGCCGTGATTGACTCTGGTACAGCCACAAGGTGTACCATTTTGCTGAATCTGTCAACAATTACGAGAATACCCGTATTCTCGCGTGCGTCTGTGGGTAACCTGAAGACGAAATCCATTTAGATGAATTCCCAGCACTCAGCCGGAACCGGTAGAGGCTGTAAAGGTGCACGCAGTGAAGGACTTGACTTCACTCGTTGACAGACTTTGCATTCGCGAACATACTTTCGCACAAACTGAAACTGGCGGGCCACTAAAAGTCTCGACTCACCGTGAGATATGTTTTCTCACGGCCACGATGTCCTCCTATAGGACCATCGTGATACTCGAACATGATCCGCAAACGCAGATCAGTATCATCTGGAATGACAACACGTGGTGTGTCACCAGAAACGGCTGTATAATACAGCAAACCGTTGCGAGTAGTGTATCGATCTGATGCAGATCGATACGCAGACGATAATCGTTTCAACGATTCTCGAGATGGTTGGGAGAGATGTGTAAACAACTTCACAATCTCACCATCTTGGGCGTATGCCCGTCTCACATCATCATGCAACGTTGAAGATGGGACTGAGGACGTCATAACCGCAACAGTGACTGTCTCACTGTTGGGTTTCATGACTGATTCAAAGTCGGGACGACGTGAGAGTGCATCAGCGACGACATTAAGTCGTCCTGGTTTGTACTCGACCGTAAAGTTCTATTTTGCAAAGAATGACAACCACCGCGCCATTCGTTGTGAAAGGTGCGGGCTGTTCACTGCCGTGCGTAATGACGCATGGTCAGTGTAAACAATGAAGGGTCTATCTCCTAATAGATAGAATCTGAACTTCGCGAGTGCATACTTCATGGCAAGGAGTTCCTTGTCATGCACTGGATAGTTCCGCTCAGCTGGTTGCAGCTGCAGCGACTGATAGCAGACGACGCGTTCTACGCCTTCTAGATCGTACTGCATTAATGCACAGTCGATTGCGAAATCGCTGGCATCACAGACCACATGAAATGGCCTGTCCTGATCGGCAATTGCTAGGACTGGGGATTGTATCAAGCTCCGCTTGATACCATCAAAGGAGCGCTGACATTCAGCGTTCCATAACCACCTCTTGCTCTTTTTCAACAAATGAGAGAGGTGTACAGTAATCTCGGCGTAATTGCGTGGATACCTATGCAAATACGCCGCTAGCCCAAGGAATTTTCGAAGACCTTTGACATCAACTGGCACAGGCCAGTCGGTGATCGCCTTGATCTTTTCGGGATCAGGACGTACACCGTTCTTACCAACGATGCACCCAAGAAGTGGTATTTCGCTTGCTGTAAATATTCACTTCTTGAGATTGGCATACAATTAATGCTTTCGCATGATTGTAAGAACCTGTCGGACGTGGTATCTGTGAACCTCAACGCCCGACTTTCCATCCATAGCTCGACTATGGATGAATACGTCATAGAAATAACTCAGTGCAAATTTTCGTACTGGTCTCAACAGATGTGATACACATCTGTTGAACGTGGCAGGGGCATTACTAAGCCCTTGTGGCATTACTAGCCATTCCCAGAGCATGCCGCTAGGCGTGCTGACTGCGGTATAGAAAATATCCCGTTATTGCATGAGGATCTGGTAGAATCCATCTACAAGATCCATGGACAAAAATATGGTACTTTTTGCCGTACCATCTATGATGACGTCCTTCCTTGGTATCGGCGTCTGAGCCGGTACCGTTGCAGCGTTCAATTTGTTAAATGCATGCACTATCCGCCACCCTCCTGTTGCTTTTCGCACACAGAAGGTCGGAGAGCTATGTGGGGAAGTTGATTCCCTCACATGGCCTGCAGCTAAACGATCGGCAAAGAACTTGTCGATCGCAAGCACGAGGCAGTGGCCACTGCTTCATGACACAGTACTTCGAGCCTGGTTTAAGCTCGACCTCGTGTCGAGTACCTTTATCCTTCGGTAACTCGCACGGAACACTTTCAGGGAATACATCCTTGAATTCAACCAAATCTTTATTGAGAGGATTTGTCTTGAGCGATTCCCATGGTTGAGAGTCATATCGCTCAACTCGTGTCTTTTCATCTAGGACACTCTCGTCCATCGATGAACTACTGAGAACTCTCTCGTTCTCAGTAAACACTGTTGCTGACCTTATGTCGGCTACACACTCGTCGTCAGCGACGAGTACGCATATCTACTTGACTTTGTCACTACGCAGATCACGCAAGAACCTTTTATGTTCGAGCGTTGGCATCTGAGTGATGTCCGAAGTCAACTTCAGAGGCGCAATCAGATCAAGTGTATAAGCGCCTACACTTGATCCGTTATTGACTATGACATTCAATGTCTCTGTCATTTCCTGGGGACTTATTCCCTCAGGCCTCGAAGGACTTATTCCTTCGGCTTCCCGGGGACTTGTTCCCTCGGGTTTCGGGGAACTTATTTCCGCCGTATTTGTAATATTGGGACTTATTCCCTTTACTTCCTCTAGCTGTGTTTGCGCAACCTCAGCGAGATCCTCTACGAAAGGCTCTCCAGTCGATCTAGGATTATCGTTTCGCTTAACCTGAGCGATCGATTGTTTCTCTTCTAGATGTTCCCCGCTAGGGATGCATCTTTGTCCCGGTCCACTCGACTTATTCGAGTGGTGGACCTTCGGCGCAGCCTGTGTTTCCTCACAGCCGCCGGAACTTTGCTCCGAAGTATTACCGTTTGTTACACTAAGGTTTTGCGCAGTCGTACTAACGACCGTACCACAAGTGAGTCCATCGCACTCACTCGTAGTACATCCACACGCTTGACGACGCTCCAAAACGTTCATCAGATGGCCATCTGATGAACAAGCGGCAGGCATCGTTACTGTTCGATGTTGCCAGTTTACCCGTGGTTCGTACCTTCTGAGCCACGGTATTACAAGGATGATACCAAATTTGTCATCCAAATCCAATACGATAAAGTCATCGTCATATTGGGTATCTTCTAGCGTATAGTGAATCTTCACTATACGCTTCATGACGGTTACGGATGCGCCTGTCGCAAGACGTACCGTCATCCTCGTAGGAGGTGTGTCACATTCACTGAACTTAAAATGACCATTATCTAGCGATTGGCGTCGCACAAGATTGTTAGACGCCCCACAATCAACTAGAGCTCGAAGGGACAACTTATTTGTCACTTCGAGTTTCAAGGTAATGAGTGAGACCTCATTACCCAGAGCAGCAACGCACAACGTTTGTTTGTTGGGAGCAACCTTCATCAAGAGGCCTACAAATTCTCTTGACGTTGCTGGACCAGTAGGGTGCTCCGCACCTACTGATCCTGTCCGTTTTTTGACGGTCCATCCCGTTGTTGCGTCTTTGCACCAACAGCGGACCCTCGTCCCTGTCCCTTTCTCATGGGTGGACGGTCACTACGCCCAGTGTCGCGAGACACTGGACGAGGGGCACTACACTCGTAAGCGTAGTGTCCTGTCTTTTGACATCTGTTGCATCTCTGCAACTTCTTGTAGCCTGTAGAGCGAGCCTTCTCGCTCTCTACATAACAGAGTTCCATCGGCTCTGGACCTCCGCTGTCATATCGTCTCGGTGGACGATATGATGTCGAGCTGGCGCGAGCCTGTCTCAGACTGAAGTCTTCCTGCTCCGCAATGGAAATGGCTTGTTCTAGTGAATCTAGTTCAAGTCGAAACAGGTGAATCTTGACGGGACCATCCGCAAGACCCTGCATGAACAACGAAACCAACGTGTGTTCATCAACCGGGTTGGAACTTATACAACTCGTGAGATGTCGTATATGTTGTGCGTAAGCGTGCACATCACGCCAACCTTGTTTGAGCTTCAAGATTTCAGTTCGAGCTCTGAACTCAGCTCTAGGCGGTTCAAACATTGGTCTGAGCCGCGACTTGAAGACTTCCAACGACCCAAACGCGTATGGGTCGTGTAACTTGAGCCCCAAAGCCCAAGTCTTGGCACGTCCTGCCAGATTTGATTGGGCAAATGCAACTTGCATATCCCTGTCGTCGATGCGACGCGCCCTTATGGCGTCATCTAACTTGACGAACCATCTCAAGGGGAGTCCTCTTCGACTCCCCTTTACTTGGAGATGTCAATCTTCAAGATCTCGGGTCGACGCGAGTGCATCGACCCACCAGCAGCAGCCTGCTGCTGTCTCAACAGTTCAAACTGTTGAGCACCTTGTTCTCTCAACAACTCTGCTTGTTGAGAACCTTGTTGGTGAAGCAAGGCTACTTTCTCGCGTTTTGCGTCAAGTTCATTTTGAATGAACTTGGCGATAGTAGCATGTTGGGCATCTCTATTGAGAGCCTCTAGCATGACGCTAACAGCATGGATGCCCATGGGTGAACCCATCCGTTCAACCGCATCCCATTCGACATCTCTCAAATGGGAGTAGCCGTCACGCGTAGCGTGAAAGCTTTGGTCATCTTCATCATCTAGCATATTCACGTTAAATATGAACGTGGTCCTTGGACGGACTACGAAGTGCTACCAGGTGTAACGGGGCACCCTCGAGCTTGTACTGATGACAGTACAAGCTGCTTATTTTGATGGAAGAATGAGGCGGTGCCTCGAAACTGCAATTACACTGGTACGTGCAGAGGAAGACGGTAAGGAGAAGCGAGTACTTGGTCAAAGTAAAAAGTAGAACGGAATTTACAATGGTTAATGTCCATTAATAAACCACTATTTATCCTCATCTAACTATGTCTAAATACAAATGTGTATCTCAACTATCTGCGCACCACTCCTTGCGTGCGTCTGTCGTGGTGCGTCTGTCGTGGCGCGTCTTCGTTGGTTGATATAATGGCATATGCCAACCAATTAGGAACTACTCGTAAGTGCTACAGAATATTTGTCCTTATGACAATATTCTGAGAATATAACTCTTATAGTTATATTCAATTAACAATATCTTAAATATTGTTATGTAGCGGTTCACCCTGTTACATTGCTTAAATATGACATCTCGACACGCTTGTTGAGTGCGCCCTGGATCGTCTAAAGCAGTGCCGCCGTGTTGCATGCAATGATTCAGTCGTCGACGTAGAGTATTCCAAATGTAGCGGAGCTACTTAGCGCTCCTTAATAGAGGAAGTCTTAGACTCAAAGAGTCCTTTAGTTAAAACAAATAAGAACGACGTACAGTCGTTCAAGCATACAAGCTTGACAATTCAATTCCAAAGGGATTGCGATTCACTGAATCACACACCGGCCAGTCACTACTAGCTAAACAAGAGTAAGCCTTCACCGCCTTCAAAAGGCTAACACTCTTACAACACAATACGCCTTGACTAGGCACTTGTGTCCAACGATTCAAAGGGGGGCTGAACTGTATTTATTCTTTCAGCTACGGTAATAAAACCCTAAAAACCTTGTTTGACTGACTACTACATTGCGATCCTACGACAGAAGTCTTATCCCTGATCCTAACCCGATAAGGTGCGGCATTACAGTAAGTACGTGGTACCAAGACTGTACCACTCAGATCCACCATCTTTATTTGATGTAGACACAGAGCATTACCGGTTCAATGACAGCGTGTAACCCCGTTGCACTAATCCCTAGATCGTTTGATGGGGACTATTACTCAAGATGATCTGATATTGTACGCAGCATTACAAGAGAAATTGTTGGATAACAAGGTCGCGACATGGTTTTAAGTGGTCATAAGATTGAAGCAGTGAGTTTCAATGGCGAATTGAGCAAGACCGACGCGATTTATAAGGCGAAGCGTTGGATCGATCTACGAAGATCGCGATATGCATTTATCGGCAATCTTATTTACACTACGCACTTTAGCAAGATCGGCGAATCCGGAACAATATCGAAGCAACAAACAGGCGAGATTACCATCATAACATCAAACCACCGTGTGAAGGAGTCCCATCTGCACTCGAACCTTGATCCCCAGCATAAAGCAATATCGATGCATCCCAAGTGCGTAGGAAGAGCTCAAGCTAGCCCAACCGAAAGGTACACAATTTGAGCACAGTCTAGAAAACATGGCACGGATCGGAGTTGACCCTCCGTAAGGTTCCATGTCCGGGCAAGTGAACGATAAAGGTTCATGTCAGCAATTTCATGAGATCGACTTTACCACATAGGGCCATTGTATGCAAGCTGAAGGCATCTCAAATCCTACTACAAGCCGATACTACCTCCTTACACATTAAGGTCCATGATGAAATCTTTTCATGTTACTACACGCTTGCACGCGTCGCCTTTACGCTTTGCCGCCTCTTCAAGTATAACTCGAATAACGCAAATTTGGACCGGCTATAAACGCTGGTAACCTCTTTTCCAGACACTATAGAACATAATTGCCACCTGCACTTCGACGAAGGCTGACCGACGCAAGATTTATACATCGGAGCCAAGAACACATACTTGTTGCAAATGGTTCCGTTCAAGTGTTATGGCGTGACTCTGCCAAATTTGTACGACACCACCGTCTGCTCACATAATCTTTTCTAATTTCAGTTCAACCGTAGTCCACCCGGGAACTGCTTGTCAAACAACATGACATCACTATCTACGAGTGCTAATCGAGTGACTATGATGCTGCTATTCATCTGCAGTAATTTTCTCCCTCGGCACAGTGACGATGACGGCTCTTTGCCGATGTCTACAGTAATCTTAGTTGGCTTTGTTCTATTTGGATCTTTATGCAGGCATTTTAACGGGTGTGGGGAATCAATCGACTAAGCTTGTAACGGGGTCACAAAACGGTTGGTATAACTGATAGAGGAGTAAGGTTTGCTTTGCTACCAAGCTTCTCAGAACCATGCCAAACGATCATTATAGCTCGAGAAGTCGTCTTTGATGCTTCAATTAATAATGGCCATGATGCTATGATGTGTCCAATAAATTCACGTTATTTTTCTGAAGCGGCTAGGAAGGATAGATGACCTAACCAAATCAGCGGGGAGAATCATGCGCATTTGTTTGAGCTGGATTTCGCAGAACACTCCCGTATTTTTCCTGGATCTGCTTACCAAATGGGTTTGGCAACTGAGGAAACGTTCTGGCGAGGTACTTTCAGTGCTGATAACTGAACATTTATAGATCACGAAGGCCCCAGCCCTAAATTTGCTGGGCTTGCCATCTAGCGAGAGACAAGGTTTTTGTAATCTTTCGATGGCGGTCCACGAGGCAACCTTGGGTCATATACGTCTGGGTGTGTCGTTGTGCCGAGTGCGGCACAGGAACAGTCTACCCTATCGCATGTCCGAATATCATGGCCTATTCTAAGGTCCACGCAGACAAAAACATCAGATTTACATCGCTCCACGTTATCGGGATAATTGCACTGATCATCCAATAACTCCGAGTGTACATCCCTTCACGTCGCAAGCCCCACTCGAGGCACTGTTTCGCAAAGCGCGAGCACTCATTGAAGATGTCACAGTTGCTAGCTGGTCTTACATTATCGAGAATATAATAGGATGGCAGACCTTGCAGCAAACTTTGCGATAGATACAAAAGTTCGCTTGAGTTCACCCACGACCTGATCGTGCATCGCTCGAGGATTAAATAACCAGACTTATTGCGACATCGACTATTGCTTGAGATACCGCTCGAAGTCAACAATTGGCTTGATATATATCTCGACGTCACAAGCGACCCCAGTACCTGCAACCCGCAGACTTCCCGTGAAAGGGCGTTGGCAGAGCGTTATAAATTTCCACGAGAAGTGTTCGTCATGCTGTTGTATGTAAGTTACAGCGAACAGCAACAGCAAATAACTAGGGCTCTATGAATATGGCACTGCCGGTCGATAACGTTCCTCGATCGACCTCACTTTTCACAACAACAACGACACACTGAAGCTGACACGTCAACTTTTTGATGAAATTCTTACCAATGTGTAAATGCACATACCGTACTAAATCGTCACCTTCCAACAACTGTTTGACGTCTATGCAAAGCAGGTAGTTGTTGACAAGTGCACGGTAAAGGTCGAGCGTTTGGCTTGATAATTAAAGCAGACATTGCTCATAACTTCGTGCACGGGCTGGTCTAGCTTTTCACTTTCAACACGGTATTACCAACGCACTTGAGTCAACAAGCGATGAGGTGCGAGAAGAACGGTGGACTGTATCGTTCCCACATAAACCCACTGTATTGTTCCGAGACAAGACTAACCATAAGCATGCAAGGCTACAGATTAACGCTAGGCTACATCGTGTAAAATCACGACGACGACGACGACGACGACGACTTTCTACCACCGAAAGATTACACGGGATTTGTTTCGCGGTTGGATGCCATTTATCTATGGCGAATATCGACGAATGACATCCGTCGGTTGACTCGATTGACAAAGAAAGACCTCCGGACATCCAGACGAGGAGCCAAGTCCTTTTGTGCAGCCAAGTCACGACCCTCGCCATCGCATTTGGGCTCCCTGTTCATGGTGGCCCCGGGCGCAAAGTGGCCGCTTCGGCCAACCGCTGCGTGCAGAGAAGCGACGCAGTCTCGGGTCGAGGCGTTGGCACTAGTGGAGGAGCGTTTCCGTGACTTTGACGTGGTGTGGGCCAAGGTACACGGTTTCCCGTGGTGGCCAGGCGTGTTGTTCTTCTCCTGGGACGTCGTGCGCCGTGCTGGCATTCGTACGGACCCCAAGATTGTGGCGGAGCTCGTCGTGCCAAAGCCGGAGAAGGTGGAACAGCTGGCCACAACCAAGGGCAGCCAAGCGACGAGCAGTTCCCGTCTCAAGCGCCACTGCCTCATCATGTTCCTGGACAAGTTCAACTTTTCGGTCGTGGAAATGGACCCTAGCAGTGTGGCGAGCTTTACGGCTCACTACGACATGTATGAGCGCGCGGTCATGAACAGCAAGACCAGCAGGAAGAAAGCAGAGTTCAAGCGCGCAGTCGTTAAGGCGACGCAGTTGCTGCATATGGTGAGAAGAGTTGTGGGTGCCGATAGTGTGTTGGGATACGGAGTGGTTGACTGATCGTGTGGTCGTGTTGGTGCTCCTCTTTTGTCGATGGATGTTGTTGGATAGGGAAAAGGTGCGCACGTGGACGATGATCTCGCTATGTTGGAGCAGCCAGGTCCAATGGACAGGGTGGAACAAGCGGAGGAGGACATGGAGGCGGATAGCGAGGAGGAAGAACACGACCGAGAGCTGGATAATGTGAGGGCCAGTCGTGAAAAGGAAGACGAGACAGCAGGTAACGTCGAGGAGAAGGTTGGTGAGAAGAGATCGGCGGAAAACTCGCAGAAAAAGTCGATTGTTAGGGGAGGAAATGTGCTGAAAGTGAAGGACGTTACGGGCGACAACGGGGTCATGATTGTGGCGAAATCGAAGCCACGACATAAAGCGTTATCAGCGCAACTTAGATCAAGAGGCCAAAGAACGTCACGAAAAGAAGCTGTTAGTGCAGCACATGTTGCTGTTTTGCCGCGGTCGCCGCCTCCACTAGATTTGGCCGTTGCCCTTAAGAAGAAGCAACATGCAGTCCACTATGACGAAGCGAGAGGGAAAGGGCCAGGTAAACTTTTGGAGATTAAGACTATCAAAAGCACTGCCGAGACAGATAGTACAGTACAAAAAGGCGCGAAGAAGAACAGCCGTGTCGAAGTGTCTGTGATGAAGGACGTTGATGGTATCTCGAAGCAGTTGACTGAGCAAAATGATGACCAAATTTCTGATGAAGATGCGGAAAAAGAGAGGCAAAGAGGTATGGTGCTGACACCATTGTCTAGCATTTGGACAACAGGGTTGTCGAGCGAACCGAATACTGAAAGTAACGTGCAGACGTCACTGCTATACAAGCAAGATTTCTTGTGGGATGGCGCTGTGTTTTCCAATGAGCTTAGTTTGGCCGAGAAAAAGAAAGCTGCAATTGAACGCAAGCAGACGGAAGATGGTGGTGTTGGGCTTGATAGGTCAGGCAAACGCCAGTCGCGGTCTGCTCAGCAATCGCACATTCGCCAACAGCTGGTAGCAGGAGATTTGGACCCCCACACGATGGTGCAGTGTGTTGCCTATCGCTCAAAAGGGCACGTGGATGACCCCAATAGCCGCAGCCGTGGTGGTCCCATGCTTGATCCTCCATTCCAGGTCGTGGTACATCCGGACGCAGTGTTTGTGGCAGACCTTCATGCTCACCTTGCAACTTGCGAAATCATTGGCTTCCTAGGGGGCAAGTGGGATGAAGCATCGAAAACACTGTACATTCAGGCTGCATTTCCTTGCCGCTCGCTTGTCATTGACGGCGATGATGGTTCTACCGATGTGGAGATGGATCCGGGCAGTGAGATTGAGCTTCGTAGCATCATTGAAAATGCACAACTGGAGGTAGTAGGCTGGTATCACTCGCATCCGGCGTTTGCACCCGATCCGTCTGTTCGGGATATTGAGAACCAAACGAGCTATCAACAACTATTTCAGCGCCCTTGCACGAGCATTGAAGTAGGTGCTAACTGCAAGCCTTCCGAACCATTTGTAGGCCTGATTGTTGGGACATACGATACTCGACGAAGTACGCCTGTGAGTCTCTTTCGTTATTTTCACACACGTGGAGAGAAAGTAAGTGGTGGCGCACGCCGTGAGATCCATATGCCGTACGAATTTATTCCGGAGCGATGCCACTTCAGAAGCGTGCTACAAGACGAGGAACGCGTAAGGACACGATTGTTTCCTCTGTATCAGTCAGTCTTGCAGCACTTTGGTTTCGAGCTGGCAGCTTGCCAGAGCCAGCATCTACCCGTGAGCAGTCAGTCTACGGCTACTATGCGGAATGCGATGCCTGGATCATCGCTAAGAAGAGGTCGTGGTTCATTTGGAAAGCGCAAACAGCAAACAGGGTCCATGAGATCCAGAGACAAGCCATTGAAAAAAGCGAGGGCAAGAGGTAGATCTCCCTTACGCTCTATTTTAGCTGCAAGGGACCGAGTTGACCAGAGTGGTGATGATGATAATCGGAAGCTTGAAGTTTTGAAGAACGAAGCATTGACATCAAAAAGTGCACTCGAATTTAGCGATAATGAGAGCAAGAGCGAGATTACGAAGAGTAAAAAAGACGGCACCCTACACAGTGTCGATAACCAAGGAAAGACAAATGCAATCACACCATTGCCAACCGATGCCCAGAAGAACACAGGCTGCGATAATGTATCCGCAACTAACGTGAAGTCAGAGGTTCGCAGCGCAGAAGAACAAGTCGGAGAGGTCCCCGCTAACGCGTTCGAAAATACTGGTGCACATGAATTGCTGCCACAAGCACTGCATCTGGGTGTACCATGTCGTGTGTATGGGCGCAGCATATTGAGTGAAACCCAGTGCTTCAATCGAATCAATGAGAGCGTTGCTGGTTCAGACGCGAACCGATTAAAGCAACCACTAAACGAAAATGGTATGGCCTTATCACCTCATCCCCCGACGACACCCCAGAAATTGGTACAGCAGGTCGTCAGCAAGTCTGATGAAGCAGCAAGTGGATGGAAGGTTGGAAATGTGATTGCTGCAGTAAATGATACGTGCATCGCTCAAGCGTCGTTATCTCCTCCTTCGTCTGGTGTTATACCTGGTGTATTAGCATCGACAGACACTATTGTTTCCGGTCGAAAAAGGACCCGCAAACCCAAGAAACCAATGAAATACAGTCACCGATCTACTTCACCCAGCAGTGACCAACCAATCCCCAGCGTGTCTCCCAATCAGACCAAAACTCCAGTCCAGACGCTCTATGATGCGTTTCGACTTTCTGGGCCTCATTTTTCGAATGGTGGTACACATGAGGGAATTACACCATTGCTCGGTCATGGCGACGGTCCGAAAGTCGACAATGGATTGGCAGAGGGCTTGCAGTATATATTTGTCGATGAAGCCATGGATATGACTACAACTAGCAATGGCTGTAGTGGCCCCTTGGCTGTACAAAAGGATGCTGGGGCACCTTCAGTTGCGATGATGACAAAGGATAGTGATCGCGTGAATGAAGAAGTTCGACGTTTCGTGGCCTCTTTAGTGGAGAAGGTGGTGGAAGAGGTGGCTTCAAAGATTACTGCTGGGTTAAGTTTACATGAAGAAAAGGCGAAAGGATCGTTTCCGCTTCCTAAAGTGCCGAACTGGCCTTCTGACAGCTCCGGAGCTCAGGTTTTTCTGAACAGCCATAAAAATGCAAAGGTAGAAAGCTCAAGCGTAAAGTCCGAGCCTGACGTGCACGCCGGCGCGGCAGAAAGTAATGCTCATTCTAATTTACAGCTTTTCGGAAGCAAAGGTGAGTGCGAAGACATCCAAACATCTTTGCAGAAAATGGCAGATCAGCTGGACAAATGGAAGTCGTTCCAGTCTGCTAGGCCAAGTGTAGCCGCAACAAATCTTCCGATACAACCCATACCTGCCATAGAGTCCAAGCTCGTGGTGGCTGAGGTAGATCCGGTGCAAGACGAATGTAAGGTAGAGCAAGACCATCTTGCTGCACTGCGAACCAAGTACGGTGCTGGTGTAAGCAGGTGTGCTGAGCAAGCGATCACTTTGGTGGATTACTATCGGAGTTTTGAGCGACGCACCGACCTTGACGAGATTTGGAAATCACGGATCACAAAGCTGGAGAAAATTGAGAGCTCTCTTTCCGAATACGTTCAATACCTCAATATCCCGGTAGCTCTTCGACGTGATTTTGTCAAGGTGCGCATCGTTTTTTTTAGTTGAGAATTTAGTACTTGCACTTATTACTTGCGTGCATGTTGCAGGACCTTATTCAATACTTGCGCGGATCGTGGGCAACAGCAGACCGGCGATGAAACTGGCTGTAATGACTGTGACTTGATTGTGCGAAGTCTACGGGACGAAAAGCGATGAGAAGCAAGAAGGCACTCGCACTGATTTGCTACTCGGCCATTCGTTATCCTATAATATAATGTTACCACTTGTAGCTCGACGGCGAACAAAATTATCTACGCACTCTGTCGACAAATCACGTACCCGCACTGTCAATGACTGGCCCATCTTTATACCGACTGACAGGTCGCAGTATGGGTCGCGGCCGGCGTGACGAATACGGCACTGGACGCACACGTACTGAATGATGTTGCGAATATTGCGAACGACCGTTAGAAGACATCGAGTACGAATATCCAGAGGTTTGTCTCAAGGTGTCAGGCGGGTCCTGACTTCTAAATTCTTGAGTGCTCCACCGTTTGCCAAAACGTAGTTTCTGAGGTCGTCCAAAGACTCCATCTGGCCCACCAGCGTCTTCGTGCTGATCTGAATTCGTGGTCTGTTTGGAGAGCACTTGAGATGGCGGGGCTATTACTGGGACGTTCATGGGACGGTGCGCCCGGTTGTCCCGGTAGAGCCTTGTATCCACATTCTTGTTGTCATCGATGCAAAAGCGGGAGCGAGATAACTTCTCCTTCTGTCTCATCCAGTCCGGTTTCAAACTGTTGCGTGCGTAACGTGAAACAGGTAGCTGTGCATGCATGGCCTCTTTTGATCGCGAGTGCCCGGGTATCGGCGTGCTACCTCGCGGAGTGTGGCATCCTTCCTGCGGTGTCTGCTGCCGGTTCAACTGGAAACTTGGACGCCCGGAGAATGTACCGTGCCGACCGCGTCCACCGCGTCGAGCTTGTTGCTGCGGTCGGCCAGCTGACTGTTGGGCGCGGACAGAAGCCTCGTGCGTCCACTTTGAGGCCGGTATGTTTTTAATCCATGAAGTCTTGATCCATTTTGCCAGAGCGGTGATACATATTGGCAGAACCCGTATGCGTCCCGGGGGCCTACGTGTTTTACTTAAAATGTTGATAGTCTTTCCAATGTTCGATGCAATAACCTGATTTCGCGATGGTGTTGGAAGCATTGCCACGATTTTCAACACGTTGAACAGTTCGTCGTCACGCTCAAATTGCTTTCGTACACTCTCTCGTTCGTCACCGGTATCCACATCCTCTTCATTTTTGTCGTGACCTTCTTTAGCCGCAAACGAGTTCAACAAATGATTGAGCACAAGTAACCCATCAGCTTCCGTGAAACGGACCACGGCATCGTGGGGTCGCACATCCAGGTTGCGTAGCAACTCGAATTGCCGGGCCGTCTTGACTCCACAAACTTCCTGACAGTCTAGTACTCTCAGCAGTAAAGCTCGAAGGAATTCAAACGCCATGGCACGTGTCGGCAGTGGTTCCATGGCTACATGCGGCTTGGAATCAACAACGTAGAACCGTGATGCTTTTTGCGCCTCAACACGCGCTACAGCTGCCGGTGTCGTAGTAGCCACAATCTCGCTATCATCTGCTTCATCTGGGCATTTCTGGGTCTCCACAACAGTACGCTTTTCAGCTACCTTGCCTTCAACGACGTGAGCGAATTCTTCTGGAGCGTGACTTGCCATCTCGAGAGAGTTCTCACGCGTTGCACTACCTGCTGCGCTGCTCATATTGTCTAAAATGTTCGGCGCGGGTTCAGTTTCTTGATCTTTATCAGCTTCTGCTTCCGTTAAATCGACTAGCACAACATCATTTTGTTGTTTGCTGACTTCCTTTCCTAACACAGCTACAGACTCTGGCGGGATTTTCGAAGTCTCCAAGTTGCGAGCAGCATTCACCCTTTGTCGTTTCCCTCGAACGGTTTCATGCATAACTTCATTCGTACAACCGCCACTCTCTCTTTTTCTAACAGACCTGTTCCGGGTTTTCGATCGGCTGGGTGATGAAAAGGGCGGCGACTTAATCAAAGCGATCATGCCATCAATGACAGCAGACTCCGAGATCTCTTCGGTCGAGCCATCTTCGTACTCGACACTGTACCGATCGCCAAACGGCAAGAAACATTTCACGTGACCCCGAACGGCTTTCTCCATCCGTTTGTCGTTGCCACTTACTCCTTGTCGATTCCGACGCAGCTGCACTCCTAGATACCGACTAGTAGTAAGATCTTTCACTGGAGGAGGAAACGTGTCGTGGTCGTCATCATAAAGTTCGATATTAGGCGCCGAGAGGAACTTCATCACTTCTCCTCGCGACAGCAACACGGGCTTTCCTCCACCAGGCACAAACAGCGTGTAGCAATCCAGAGCTTCGTCATAGCGCGTGAGCCATCCATGCTCTTCCTGTCCTTTCCGCTGTAACTTCCGCACAACGTGCGAGCCTACAAAGCCAAACGGATCCTGGGTCTCAATGTGATCCATCCTATGACTCGCAGAAAAAGCGCCTCGATCGTGTTTCCGAGCGCACAAGGTCAAATCACTTCAACTTCGAGCCCCGGAACACGCCAAAAGCGACGATTTTTCTGTATAGTTAAGTGGAAAAAGTCGAAAAAAACCCGGAAACGTCAATCGCTCAGAGCTCGTCAGCTGCTACTTGGTCGTCAAATCTTCTAGTCTCCCGACTGCAGATTGTCGGCAATTGCCTCTTTCTCTCTTTTCCACTGTCGGTGCTTTTGTTTGCCGACTACCGCGTTGTCCTTCGGTCCACGAGCGAGAGCAAGTAGCGATTGGGCTTCGGCGTTGCTGAGCAGCGCTACGCTGGGCGTACAACGGCGTTTTTGACCACTGCCAGGTCTGCGAACGGTACGAGGAGAGATGATTGGTTGAAAGAAACGGCTTGCAAAAGTGGTGGCACTAGCTCAGATATAGGAGCAGCAGCGCATTCGAGCAGTATTTGTTGAGAATCTGAGACGGGCGTGGGTGAAAACTACTTTGCGTGTGAGAAAGAGAGGGAGGAGTCCGATTGATGATTTGGCTGTGTACGACTAGTCAAGAATGGTCGGTGAGAAAACCTTCCTAGGTCTTTGACCCTTGTAGGTGCTGCTGGTTGTTCAAGACGTCGGGCTTCGTGTAGGAGTATGTGCGACCGGTGACCGAGCCTGAGGGTGCTGGCAGGGGGAACCACTTAAGCTGTCCTAGAGAGGCTATCTTGACTTGTCCATGTCATGAGCACGAGGTCTTTACTCGGAACGGACAGCTTCACGTTGTAAGTGATTTCTCTAGATAGAACCGATGTTTTCACTTGCCGATCAAGGACAACCCAGGGTGGATCCAGAAGGGGATACACACAATCGGTTGCCTGAAGCGGAAGGTCCTTTGCTTTTGTCGTCGTATCCCACACCTCGCAATTTCGCGTCTTTTTTCTTCCTGTCAGGTTTGCGACACAGTCCCGGTTAGCTTCGGGTCCCTTATTAAAAAGATCCTCGCCCAAGGTTAAAGGGTGATGCATCAGTTTCTTGGAGGTCTTCCCCAAGTTGCCGTTGTTGCTCTCAAACACAAGTTGGTTAGCGTTATTTGTGCACGGCTTTTCCAGCACAAGAACTGATAACGCCACGACGCTATTACTGGCTTTGCAGCGGATGATCAAGCCCCTCGGTGTGTGTGTTCGATGGCAAAGCATATAGCCACCCGCAAGTTCAGCCGACCTCCCTCTATCTCATGTCGGATACTGATAGCAGCCGAATGTTTCTGTGTCAGAAAACGCCGCGTTGTAAGCAGTCACCCGAAAGTCGAAGGCTTACATTGACGATGAAACACTGCACACCATTCTTCTTCGTTCCTGTAACCGCAGTTGACTGGCATAATCGCCATACCAACCCATTTCCAAAATCTTCCGAGTCGAGCCCAAGCCATTCCACTCATCAGTCCTAACATTGGTCAATCACTTACGATGGAAATACGCCCTCGCGGGGGTCAAGGGGGATCCATGTAAGACACACTGTTTCGCATGGCTGTTGGTGGTACATGCAGCCCCGTACATTGTGCTTAATCGAGTTAAAAGCACGGCGGACGGCGTGCCAAGACGGCTACAACTGCTATATTACAGTCGGCCAGTCCCACCACGTCAGTGTATGTTGACACAAGTGGTGAAGAGCTCTGGAGCGAAACCATAAATTGCTTCTTTTAGAAACTCAAACGTAAAATGAGCGTGAAAGTTGCCCTCACTTGAATGGCTTTATAGGCGTACATCCGAATTACTTATCCGATTCGAGATAAATAGAGGGGCAATTTCTGGACCTCACCCTCTGAGAGTAACTCCACCGGGCGACCATTTTTGTGAGAAAAATGCATTAACGTCCACGTTTCGACACAGCATCAATCCACCGGTTGCTCTTATATTGTCGCACATTGCCGTCGACTTGTTTTCCTCAATTTTGACCCAGATTTGCTACAAAATTTGCCAACAGAAATTGGTCGAAAACTCTCGGTGGCGAGAAGATGATAGTTGACCTGTTATTCTATACAGAGGGTATTAAATGAAAAAAGGTTATTCACTCACCACTCTTTCGTTAAACAGCCGCCAACTACCCACCAATAATCGGTATGATTTATGTTTATTTTTAAATCAATGCTTTTAAGTAATTACGCAAACATACAACGTTGTATAGCTCATGTTTCGCAATGTATCGAGTTGGGAATAAAAACTAGACACACAACTTACACTTAATCTAGAATTTGTGGCAGCACTATACAGGGTATTACTATGTTCATTTCGTGGATAAGGTGTTCATTTCGTGGATATGCTGTTCATATATTGGCTAACATACCACCAAGAAGTATATGACTAATTTCTTCCCAGACCAAAGAAAAGCGAGATGCTCTCGCTTCTCGTTTCGCGTGGGCACATAAACCCAACGTAAATAAACCGAATGTATTGCTTTACGGACCTTTTTTACAAAAGTAGAAAAATAGTTCTTACACGCAATTAAGGGCATCGTGATCGGATGTGATAGTTCGTTCCAAGGACTTGGCGTTTCAAGCTGAATAATGAAGGTGTTAGTTGGGTAGACTTATAATTCGTGATAGGCTTGACGCGAGACGGAAACGCCGAAGCTCACCAGGCTCTGAACAAAATCCCACTGCTACGGCTAGGAAGAGCACGTTGGAAAGGTCGGTTTTGCGTTGCTGGGGGTTGACTAGGATCAGGGTAAAATTAGCATTTCATGTCACCGTCTTTTATTTGCCTACCCTTTTTGTGCGTTTGGCAACAATCACATCGCCTTGTCGTTGTTGCGTACGGACTCCCATTGACGCCTTTATTAATCGCGTCAATAATTGTACGCAATTGGAAAGTGGATCAAGACTTTCCGTTGTAGTAAGCAATGGTTCAACAGGCTCGGAATTATTTTTTGATGGAAGCAATAAAGAAACGGGCATAGATGTGAAAAAAAAGGTCTGAGCTTGAAAACAATCAGCCTTACTTGTATCCAATTAAATACAATACTTTTAAAACGAGCATAAATTATATCATTTATTGGGGGGCATTTTCCTGAAAGTTCGGTGGCTGAATCACGTTTCCCTATCGAATAAATGAGCGACAAGCGCGGGCGATATGGACTGGATCCTTGATGGGACACTTGGCTTATCGCAACTCCCGGTCAGTTCATTCAACTTGTTCGGAACAGTCAGAATGCGGAAGTTTTTAGCCGATGAGTCTGCAGTATATTGGCTACGCGCTTATACAGAGGCAACCAATTGATAGAATGAGGCAACGAATCCACACGTGAGGAATCCCGGCATCTGATAACGTCAGCACATGGACAATCATCATGCGTGCTGACACTAAAGAAAAATCATTTTCGAAAATGCACCACACAGGAACGCATAGTCCATCCTTCCGTACGGTAATGAGCCCCACAGCGGCATATACCGAAGCGCCTTATGACAAGGCATTTATGGCAATAATGGAAGCCATATTATGGGACAACGTAATCCCTATCAAATAGGCAAGAACACGCCTAAGGGGGAGATTTTTGACAGACTGACGCTTCCGATGCTACGTACTGTGGTAACATGGAAGGATAAGAATGTTTGTCGTCACTATAAAAGTTTACAGATGGAATGCGGAAAGGGCCATTAGCCGAGCCAGTCGATACACGGGCTGCACTAAACGATATTGAATGCTGCGAAACGGTACAGCTCGATAAGGAATCAGGCGACAAACAAAACTTAGCAACTGTAATCCGCGACCTCCAGACTTGCGGTACAAGATGTTGTGAACTGAGAATTTGAAATATGAGACTTAGCGATATGAGACAATGCGATATAAAGGTTTAAGATACATAAACGAGGACATTCTAATAACCGTCACAACGATGCAAATTTTAGGAAGATACAAGATTTTTAGTGCATTTCATAGGGTAGATATCACGATGCCTGGTCGTGATGGTTACCGGAAGATTCATGTCACTGCTTGAGATCAATTGTGACGTAGTGCTATTGTCTACTTGAAGCTCCCTAAAGGACTTTTCACATAAAGAATTGATGCTACCAAGCTCTGCGATACGAGCCTCTACGCTATTTGGTGACGCGCTATCAGTGCGATGACATGATTTTCACTGAGTGCATAATTCCACATCGAATTCGGCGTTTTACCATGGATAATGCAGGCCTGATAGATATCAGGTCTGATGGTATTTAAGTAGGCGTATGTTGGGTCGGCGAATATTGGAGGTGACGAATATTGAGTCAGTGAAGATTAGGGTGGCTGCAAGTGCCCCCAACAACAAGTGCTCCCAGTAAAGGAAGCCTGACGGATGAGCATAACTCGACCAGGGTGCTGGAAATTCCCAAGTACATTTCATCAGTTATTTGACAGGAGATAGAGAAGAACAACAGGGGCCAAAAAAGGACTGCACAATATAGCAAAGCGGTAATACAAAATTTCAATGTCCAGAACAAGTGTACACTCCTCCATTGCGTTTCTGCGTGGGTTGAATTGTATCTACCTGCGAACGTCGAAGGTAATAGATTGTAGAGGTTTCTACTTAAATACTCAAGACTTCAAGTTGGCCCGGGTTGGGCATTACTCTATTTCAGAGAAAGAAAAATTCTCGTCAAGCAACGATCCAGTCAACACCATAGATGCTCCTGTTAATGACTTGCCGAGTGACTAAGCGGGGGTTGTCGACCGGTAACACCGTAGTGCTCTTCTGTAAATATCTAACTGTGTCAGCGACCTGTAAAAGGGCGTAAAGCGTCGGCGTTCACCCGTCAGCATGAGATTGCAGGCGCTTGAATAATAGGAGCTACTGAGATCAGGAAGGATCCCGAAAGACTTACTGGAGCCGAAAACCGCAACTGAGCCCGAACTAGCCAACCACGAAAGGATGCATAATTATTAACGGATGTATCCTATTTTACTCGCCCCCTGATCGGTTTTGACTCGTCCGTTGGCAATGTGCGTCTTAATATATCGAGTA